CATCATGAGGGTCTTGGAGATGGCCATTGCATATACCGAGGGAGGTACTTCTCAGTAGGTCGAGATGAGGAAATTAAAGGCCAAGTTGGCAACTTCTGAGAAGGAACACACCAGTGGGGAGGCTGCCCGAAAGGAGGTAGTTGAGAGCTTGGCGAAGGTGACCGAGGAGCGTGATACCCTTCTGCTCGAGAAGAGAGCTTCTAAGGAGTTGGTCGCGTCCTTGAGGGCTAAATTGAGTCCTGCCAAGGATGAGCCGAAAGAGGTCAGAGGTCTGAAGACCCGTGCCGACTTGGTTTCCCGTCTCCAACTGCCGTGGATGACAGTTTGGTAAACATTGAGGGGAGTCTTGATAATACAGCGGTGCAACTCCGGGTTCTGAATCCTGATGTCGAGTTCAACGTGGTTGGAATGGGGCTCCATTACTATGTGTCAGATGGTAAGATAGTCATTCATGAGTTCCTTCGGATCAATAAGGATGTTCTGATCGGGGAGCCTTCTCACGTGGAGCCTGCTCCCGAGGCTGATGTAAATGAGGAAGAACTTCAACCCGGTGTTTGATCAGTTTATTGTTGCTCTTTTTGTTTCGACCTGTGTGTCATATTGTAGTAATTTGTTTTCCTGGGGCTTTTCCCGTTTTGATGTAAGTTCCATACAATCGTGGTCCTCGTGGCCACAAGTTCGTTTAGTTGAATGGGGGCCTTGGGCCTCTCTTATGTAATGTTTTGTACAATTGTAGCCTTTGTGGTTGTATTTTATTTATTTTTTACTTTAGTGGTAGTTCTGCTTTAATATGCATTATTTAAGTGTTTTTGACTTTGCTTGTGCATGATTTACTGTCTATTATGATAGCATGTTTGTATGCGCATCTGCTTGAGATAGTTTTGCTTAAGATTTTTTTAGGGGGTTTTGCTCATTAACCATTGTGGCTCGCCAGTGAGGGGAACTGGTCGAACGAACAGGGTTAATACCGGGCAAGGGCTGGAACTCGGGTCTCGTATGAGGCCTAAACTCGGCGACGTGAACTTCCCATTACAAGTTGGGTGTTCTACCATCGTGGTATGGCAACAATGAAGTTCGTTTGAGTTTTTCATATCGGACTAAGAATCTACTCGTCAAAAAGAATAGAGACTTACTTTTTTTATTTAGTATGAATAATTATATAAGATTCCTAATTTATGCAATATAATTAATGTCAAAATTAAACGTGGTCTTACAAATTATTACTTAATATTGTGCAAGTATTTTTCCTTACCTTTGTAATTTAGACATGAAAGTGATAAAAAAATTACATAGTAACTAAGTTTATGTATTTATGAGAATACGGATGCACATTAAAGGATCGCTTTTTCATATATGATGTCCCAACTAATATGAATGTCTAACAATATAAGCAAGCAAAGAACTCTTGTCTAAACAATCATAAACAATAAATAAACAAGAAAAATGAGCATAACAAACAATACATAGATCCATGTTAATAATATCACACAATTATATGTTGATAGCCCAATCTGAATAAATTAGCAAGTCACTTGTTGCTCTCTTAACACACAAAGTTTGTTATTAGCCATGTCTCTAAGCCTCCAATGAGGAAAATCCTTTACTATCAAAACCTTCTACAAATCCACTTATTACAAATCATCAATATTAGTCACAAATTTCACTTATAACATTATAAAACATTGATTTCATTGACAGAGAAAATATTTAAAGAGATCACAAAATGGATCAAAACATAACATATCTCAAACTGCAGAGAAATCAGAGAAATCCTCACTGAACTAAAGACAACATTCGTCAATTAACTTGTTTCTACTTCATTAGCAATATCAGTATCATTGAAATGATGGATCAATCATAAAATATCGTTTTGGATATACACTACTAAACTGTGTATTCTTCTAATGTCTTGATGCCAACAAAGTCTCAAGCCATTATCATTTTAAACAACCTCTATCTTCCTTACTGCTATTATGAAAATCATTCAGATTAATTGCAAAATAAAATCAAATTGAAATCAAAATAAACAAAAACACATTATGAACCACAATTTAGAAACAAACCTAATTTGGTGTAGTCGGCGGAAGCAAGTCTCTTGTTTATATAATTTATGAACCAAATTGAAGAGATAGTGATGAACACAAAATTTAGGGTTTATTATGTATTAGATATGAAAGTTGATTTCAGGAATAAAAACACCAAGAACATGCACACTTTCACTTCAAACACAAATACACACAACTGTAGATTTAAAAAACATTCTCTAAACTGATTAAATTTAGCTAATGAGATAATTTTGGTGGTTGTATATATAAAGTAGATTTAAGATAAAATTATGGTCCTTTAACTACTAAAAAAATATAAAATTTTGAAGTAGAGTTTTAAAAGTTTTTTTTCTTAGCCCAGCCCATTCATAACGAAAACCCTAGTTTTATAAAACAGTTAAAAAACAGAAATGAACATTTCTTGACGCGTTAGTCGATTTGGAACCTCTCTCTGATCACTTGTTCACTACCATTCCTCGCATCATTCATTCATCTGCAAAATCATGGCCGAGAAAGCTATCACTATCAGAACCAGAAAATTCCTCACCAATCGTCTCCTTTCCCGAAAGCAATTCGTCAGTTTCTCATTTTTCAAAATCCCCTGTTCATTGATTCATCGTTCTGCATTTCATTAAAATCTAATCGTTGTTATATGATTCAGTAGTTTTATTTAGTTTCAAACTATTAAGAACATCTGGATCTGAAAATGTGCAATCAATTTTGCAATGATCACTTTTTTCTGAATTGCTCTGCTGTTCTGCTGTGAATTTGTGAATTTAGATTCACTAGTTAATTAGCCCTAATTCCTAACCTGATCTATTTTTTCTCTTAATTTTTCAGGTTGTTGAAGCTAATCATCCAGGGAAACCAAATGTTTCTAGGGTAATTTTTATTTATGTGGTTTTATTAATTTAAATTATAAGGATTAAACTAATATTAGGGTTTTTATGATCTTAAATTAGTAATTGAATATTTCATTTTTAAGTGTTTATTGATTTGTTGATTGGGAATTACATAATCAAGTAGTGAGTGTTTATTGATTTGTTGTTGTTGTTGTTGTGTGGCGAATAGGCTGAGCTTAAGGAAAAGCTGGCAACTATGTATAATGTGAAGGACACTAACACTGTGTTTGTCTTCCAATTCAAAACACATTTTGGAGGTGGAAAATCCACTGGTTTTGGCTTGATTTATGATTCGGTTGAGAGTGCCAAGAAGTACGAGCCCAAGTATAGACTTATCAGGGTGAGTTAACAATCTCCATAGCCACCTCATATTGATTTTGTTTTTAAATCTTTTGGTCTGAATTGGTTACATCATTGTTGTAAACTATCTTTTGATGTGAAATATTCCCGTATATGTTCTTTACAATCACAATGCATTGTACTGTTTATTGCTTGCATCATTGTTGTTAACTTTCCTTCGATGTGAAATCTTCCAGTCACAATACATTGTAGTATTTATTGCTTACGTCATTGTTTTTTCAGTTTTTTATTTACAATTGTAATAGCTCAGTGCTTCCATCTCGCTGTTCCTTTTTGTTTTGTCACTTTTCCTTCAGATACACTTGAATTTTTTGTTATAAGCCATGCTAACAAAGTCTTCTTGAAACATTAACCTAAGTCAGTATGCACATCAGGTTCCTCACAGTTTTCTGAAGAAATCCCTAGGAGTTCTGGATTTTTTTGCATATCTACCATACATACTGTTTGTGGCCTCCCATGGAAGCTCCTTAATTCTGTCCCCTCTAAATCTGCTATGGGGCTAACTTTGAGTCAACAACAATACATTCGGTTATTTACTGAGTGTTGGACTATTTTCCAAATGTGCGACTTTGAGAACTGAACCGAAGTTCTTTTCTTTGGCGAGGCTCAAGTTTTCAAATCTCCCAACATCATGTTGGTCTATGTAAATTTCAATTGTAACTTCCTTTGCAGTGTATTTGTTTCAAATTTGTTTCTTTGGTGTCTTATTTTTCCATTTTTTTACCTGTTTGTATCTGTGTATCTATCATGTCGATCTTTGTGAGTTAAACTGCATTTTTTCTTCATTAGGCTTATCTTATTCATGATTACTCTGTTTTGCGTGACTGAATGTAAATATACATCTATATTTCAGAACGGTCTTGACACCAAAGTAGAGAAGTCAAGGAAGCAAATGAAGGAGAGAAAGAATAGAGCCAAGAAGATCCGTGGTGTTAAGAAGGTAATTTTGTAACTACTAATTATTGTCACGTGTTTATGACTGCTCACACTGTATTCAGTCATTGTTTGATTAAATCATAAAATCTTTATCTGCGCTGTCTTTGCAGACCAAGGCTTCTGATGCTGCTAAGGGTGGAAAGAAGAAATAAGTTTGAGACTTGATGTTTAAGATCATCACTATTTTGCTTCCAGAGTTTTTTAATAGCATTTTTTTCTTCTCATGCTAGGTCTATAGAATAAGGTATTTTGGTACAAGGGTTAATCCTTGTTTAAATTGTTTTATTATCACGGGAGATTTTCATTTTCATTTTCATTTTCATTTTCGGTACTAGAGTTGACAATTTTTTAATTTTTTTTTTACTATCTCTCTACATTAAATTTTAGTTCATTGTAGGCTGCGGATAACCTTGCTAATGATAGATCTCTGTTAATGACTATTTAATTCAGATTATGCTATAATCTATGGTGAGCCTCAAGCTTCACTTTAGCAAGAATGTATTGGTAAAGACAATCCTTGATTTTTATAATTGTATGCCTATAAAAAAGTAATAAACAACTATTAAAGTATCTCAATTGACTCATAATACAATCATACAATTGCAGTGCACCAAAAATGGTTGAATTTCTATAATGATTAAAAATGGAAAATAAAGCAAGTGGTCCAAAAATGTAGTGTTCAATCATACCTGTTAATATTTCTTATTGCAGAACTAATATTGAACAATACAATCTACTAGTACTCATACTTTATAATTTAATTTGTTACATTGGATTTGTTGCTATTGCTCCACTTGAGAGCTAACTTAGAGATAGTGTTTGTGGAAGTTCCATTTTCACCCAAAGTTTTTGCAGCAGCCTCTTTAAGATCCTTCATTTTACAACGAAGCTTCTTCCCTTCTTCACCTTCCATCAAACACTTGACAACACTAGCAATCTCTTGTCTCTCAATCAAACCACTCTCACCAACATTTGGTCTCAACCCAACCTTAACACCCTCAGTTAAAATAACAGCATTCATTCTTTGTTCAGCATAGAGTGGCCAAACAACTAAAGGCATTCCATTCACAATACTCTCAAGAACAGAATTCCATCCACAATGAGTCAAAAACCCACCCGTTGACCCATGGGCCAAAACCTGTGGCTGTGGGGCCCAAGATGAAGTAACAAAACCTCTCCCTTTAGTTCTTTCTAAAAACCCATTTGGTAAAAAATCAAAAGGATCAGAATCTGATTCAGCAGTGAAATAAGAAGCATTAACAACTTTATCATATGGACTTCTAACTACCCATAAAAACCGTTGCTCACTCTTTTCTAAACCAAGTGCCAATTCAATTGTCTGATTACTCGAGAGCGTCCCACGGCTTCCAAAAGATACAAATAAAACACTCTTGTCTGGCTGATCATCTAACCACTTCAAACACTCTGAACAATTTGGACCGGCTTGGGCGACTTCGACCTCTCTATTAACTAACGGTCCGACCGGGTAAAGAACTGGTTTTCCTTTTTGTAACTCCTTGATTGGACCCGGTTCGAGTTCAAGGAAACTGTTTTCAATAATTCCATCTGCTTCACTGTGTCTCTTGGCGTTACGAAGAACAGTTCTGTAAGCGTCGTTTTTACGATCCTGAACCGGGTTTAGTAAATCTTTACCGTGAACCGGGATACAACCGGGGATTTTTACCGGTTCAGTGAGTTCTCTATACTCGCAATGAACCTCTTGGTCTAAACGAGGGAGATAAAGAAAAAGGGAGAGAGACATGGCGGTTGAAGGGTAGAAAATATATTTAGGGAGGTTGAATTCGCCGGCGACGTCGAAAGCGTCGGTGCCGAAATGATCGACGAGGAGGGTGGTGATAGTATGAGAAACGGAGAGGGAATGGATGGTTTGTCGGAGAGAAGGGAGAGACAAGAGAACGGTGAGGGAGATGAGTGTTTCAGTCTTGGTGTTTGGTGGGAGATCTGTGAATGTAACTGGTGGAAGAAAAGTGTGTGAAATGGAATTCGGAAGGGATTGAAGAACGGTGGTCTGTGCTTTGGAAGGTGGACCTGCGTTAGGGAGGACGAAGGTGATATGTAGGTTTTGATGAAGAGGGATTCGTTTGGCGAATTCAATCATCGGTATGAGATGTCCCATGCCTGGTGATGGTAGCATCAACACCATAGGTGGTAATTCTGGTGCTGTAAGCACTTCTTGTTTTGGAGCTTCCATCAAGATGTAAATGAAAATGAAAATGAAATGGTGTCTAGTTTTTGGTGAAATGTGTTTGAGGAAGAACAAGGGAATTATTATAAATACTCCACGTATTAATGATTGATTGGTCCACGTTTTATTTATAGCGTGTTTGGGAAGCCATCAATATATAAATTTGAAAGCATCCAATCTGATCTTACTTAATTATAAGATTTTCTTCAGCTTTTTTCTTTTCCCTTTTTATAACATTCTTCTCAATTTTTAAAATGTATTAGTTATTTTTTTTCAAATATATTCTTAATTATATTTTATATTTTTTTCCCAATAATATAATAAATACAGTTATATATACATTAAATATTTATTTCTCTAAATAAATTTGAAAAATTATACGAAATAGTTAATAAATTTATTATTCTAATAAATTTTCTTAATTTCTATAATCTATTTAATAAAATTTTATATTTAGGGTCGAAGATAAATATATAAATGTAATTGACACGCCTTTATAATTACACACATAAAAATGTTACTCATTGAGTCAAAAAATACTCTTGTAGTAACGATTACTCAATAAAATAATTCGTTCTCTTTTATGTCATTGCAAGACTATAACAGTAAATAGAATAAATGACAACATTTAGCAAAGTTATCTTTCTATACATAATATGATTAGAGAGTCGAATTAAAAAGTCAAGAAAATAATATGATTAAACTACAATTGATTGCTTGCATATAAATGGAATTGTACAGTTATACGTTATTATAATTAGTGGATATTCGTGCGTTCACATATATATTATTATATTACGTATATTTGAATTCAAAAATAAATTTAAACTAAAATAAAATATTTAATCATTATTAATGATTGTACCAGATTAGAAAGGATTGTCAAGGCCTTCGAACTTTTTATCGATCAATGGTTTGATGTGAAGATTCAGAGAGAGTGCTAACAAGTATGAGAGTATGTGAGTTAAAGAATCAACACTCGACCCTCTCAAATGAGAGGATATTTATAGTCTCAATGCTGGACCAAGTTCTTCAATGATGGGTCATGATGAGGTCCAACAAGGAAGACTGTCAGGGTTTACGTGTGTATGAAGTCCAGCACATGATCCCCTCTCTGGTCAACTGCCCCGAGAAAGTAGGTACTAGACCCGTCATTCCTGAAGGGCAGTATGATGACGGTTTGGACACGTGGACAACACGTTTCTAGCGGACACGTGGAGAAATGCCCAACGGTCATTATGTTAGGCTATAACTTTAGGCCTTTGATAGAAGCACTGGACTGGGCCTCCCCAACGGTGGGGCAAGTGTTGGCCCAATCCAGAACAGGAGCCCCCCAAGTCATTGTTCGTAGATGAAAGGATGATGACTTAAGTTTAACTCCACTGTCGGGGAAACGCTGCCCGCAAGGGGAAATTGCCCAACTCCGCTGGGGATGATTTGTGGGTTGATGTCAAGGATGCAGAAAACATGCGTGTGGCATGATCAACTAGGTCAGTGGGTGGTCCCTCGACTAGTTTTAACTCCGATGTTGTTGGTTTTGTGCCCGTCAGGCACATATGTCCATGTGAGGCGAGGGATTCCCCAAAATTTCTTTTTGCGTGCTCGTTTATGAAGAGCTGCCCCGACGTCAAGCATTTACCTCGCCTTTAGGGGAACTATATAGATTTGCTCGTAGTCATGGCTGTGTTGGGGGATTGTATGTTACCTGTCCCTGAGACCGAAATATCGCCCATTAGCCCGTATATAACGTTTTGTAGATGAGTTAGGGAAAAATTCATCTCCAAGAGTGGGCACGTGGCTGCTCGTCACACTACGTGGCTGCTGTTTTGGGGTGCCATTTTTTATAGGGGAGTTCAAAATTCCAAAGTAATGATGGCTTTTTGTATGCTACCTCGTGGGGTGTGAACCATCTATAAATAGTGGAATCATTGAGCTCATTTGCCATTTTCACGTTTTCCTCTCCATCCTCTCTCTTCAGCTCGTGGATCTCCTTCGTTCCAACACCACCCCAACACTTCAGCCAAGATCTTTCCAAGTAAGTCATATCCTCTTGATGATGGTTTTTCCCAGATTTTTAGATTGAATACTTAGTTTTTGTTATGAACGGGTGAACTTCTGGATGAATGTTCGTGAGTTCTGTCATGAATCTTCATGGGTGTTCATCAAAGTTCATGGCCACAGACGAAGGTTTGTACACCCAACTTCATGTGTGTCGGGGTCGTCCTCCCCGAGTAGTGGGGAGGTTTTTGGGCCGCCCAGACGTCCTCGTGCAGGGTGTGGTTCATTCTTAAGTTGGTCGACAAGGGCTTGGGTCGAGGTCCATTCCTCAATACAATCATCGCCCTTTCACTTGATTTGCAGTGTGTTTATCCTCGAATTTCGGTAAACAACCGTTGATCTTTTAAATTCTTTCACGGATCCAGTTACTTGCAAGATCGATCAGATTGATCTCAGGACACGAGTGTCTTTATTAATCTTTTAACTTGATTGTTGTATTTAACATGTTTTGTATATGAAGACAAATGGCTTCAAATGTCGAATTAAAATGCATATAAAGTGAAAGTAAAATTACTTCTGAACTTGAAATGGTAAAAGACTTAAGTAAATGTTACTGGAAATTATGCAGAAAGTAAATGCATTTATATTAAATGGGTGTATCATACGTACATCCTCAATAAACTCGTTTCTCTTTAACACTTGGTACTTTGAATAATTTCTGAGTAATTTGTACAAAGATGTTCACCCCCTAAATCGAAATACTAAAGCCATTATTTATACTACTTCGACCCTAACGGTCTTCTACACGAACTAATGCCGCGTTTCTGTTTGCATGTCTTTGACGAACTCAGAGCCTTCCACGCGTCTTTTCGGATAAGATCAAAATATTTGAATTCGAATCTCCTTCTTATCTTGAGCGCCAATCTCTAAAGACGGTCGAACGAAAAAATGTTTGAAACCTTAGCCACATTTCGAATAACAATCTTTATTCAATAATTCGAATTGGTAAACCTTTCCAACGAATTTTACTCAATTCGAATCTCAACCTTTATGGCTTCACATAAATAAAGTAGTGGAATATTCTGAAGTATATTCAAGTCTAACTTTAAAATCCTTAGTCGAAATTTCCAGCTAACAAATTGCCCCCAAGAAATATTCATTTCGAAACAAGAAATGTATATTTTTTGCAACCTCTTCAAAATTTCGACTCCCTGAACATGCTGTCAATCGTTTTGTCTTACGCTGAAATGTACAATCTCATGCACTTGTTTCTTCTTGGAGGCGAAAGAATTGGTGGATGCACCAAGTATTGCTTGATCCTTTCGAATGCCTCATGATGTTCTTCGTTCCAGACAAAGGCCTCCTGTTTTAATCGTAAGAGTGGGGAAAAGGCTTGAGTTCGACCACTTAGGTTGGATATAAACATTTGTAAGAAATTTATCTTTCCTAAGAGTGATTGCAACTCTTTCTTTGTCGATGGCGCCTTTGCCTCCAAAATTTCCTTTGTCTTGTTTTTGGTTGATTTCTATACCCTTCTTATGGACCACAAAGCCCAGAAAATCACCTGCCTGCACAACAAATGCACACTTAAGGGGATTCATTTTTAGGCCATGCTTTCTCATTCTTTCGAATGATTGTCGAAGGTGATCCAAATGGCTTGGCCCTGATATAGATTTCACCACTATGTCATCAATATAAACCTGCATAAAGGTCTTAATGAAATCATGGAATATTGAACTCATTTCCCTTTGATAGGTTGCCCCAGCATTTTTTAGGTCAAAGGGCATAACCACCCATTCATAGGTGCCTATTGCGCCAGGGCATCAAAATGTTGTCTTTGGCACATCTCCTTCTGTAATAAAAATATGGTTGTATCCTGAATAACCATCTAACATACTAAGGTATTCATAACCAGTAGCAGAATCTACTAACATTTCAGCCACAGGCATTGGGTATTCATCTTTAGGAGTAGCTGAATTTAAATCATGAAAATCTATGCATACTCTAAGAGAACCGTTTTTCTTAATTACAGGAACTATATTAGCTATCCATTCGACATACCTTGTGGTCCTGATGAACTTGCAACGTAGGAGTCTTTCGACTTTCTCTTTTATTTTGGACAGGATTTCTGGCGCGAATCTCCTTGGGCTTTGCTTGATGGGCTTCTTGCCATCCTTTATTGGCAGCTTCAATTTGACCAGTTCCCTGCTTAAACTAGGAATTTCGTCATAGTCCCAGGAGAAACAATCTTTATACTCCTTGAGCAATTGGATCACTTCCGCTCTTACTTTTGGGTTCAATTTCGCGCTGACGTACGTTGGCCTCCTTTGAGTTCCATCTCCTAGATCCACTTCCTCGAGAGGGTCTTGTTCCAGCATCTTCATGTTGGATGCCGCTGGATTCTTCTCGAATCCCAAAGGCTCATCATCATAGATGGCATTAAGCCTTTGGTCTTTGTCTTCGACAAGTGTGTCTTCGTCAGGTGGTTCAGGTTTAAAGAAAATTCCTGGCCCCTTGTTGTGAATTCCTTCAGCCTTGGTTTCAACAACCATAATTTTAACTTCGGATTCCAAAGCCGTTTTCATCCTATTTTCATCCAAATAGGCCGAAATCTTCTTGAAGTAAGAAGACTCAGACATGGACATGGTCTTCGTCTTCCCAGCCAGTTGGATGCATTCTTGGGACTCCAAGCACGTCTTCATCAGGTCCCGTGTTTTCCTTGTCCCAATAAAATCCATGTGTTGGGTGAAGGGTAAGGAAATGCATTGCATTATTACTTGGTGCTGATGCACCTTCCGCTACAGTGCATGGCCCAATGTTGGCCAAATTCCTGTTGAAATTCCTTCTATCGACATGATTAACCTCAGCCATAAAATAGCTTTGGTCTGCTTCTACGTTTTCGACAATCCCATCATCTCTCCATATTGCCACCCTTTGGTGCATTGAGGATGGAACTGCCCCAATTCCATGTATCCATTCACGGCCTAGAAGAAGATTGTAATTCGTCT